ATATTCGGTATGTCCTTTCAGCTCCCATGATGAGTTCAATACTCACCATCCTTCCAGCTACCGCCTACTTGACTACATGTACACTGCTTTCCACCAAGCCCACCTCGACGGCACTCCCGTCCTCCACCCTCTCTGGTTCAAGTACCCCAAAGATGCCGCCACCTTCCCCATCGACCTGCAGTTCTTCTACGGCGACTCCATCCTCGTCTCTCCTGTCACCGCCGACGACTCTACCTCCGTCACCTTCTACCTCCCCCGTGACACCTTCTACGACTTCACCACCCTTGCGCCCGTCAAAGGCACTGGTGCCCCGATCACCCTCACCAACGTCTCCTTCACCGAGATCCCGCTCCACATCCGCGGCGGTGCTGTCCTGCCCCTCCGCGCCCAGTCCGCGATGACGACGACCGAGCTCCGCACGCGCGACTTTGAATTCGTGGTCGCGCCTGGCACAGACGGCACGGCAAGTGGCAACCTCTACATCGACGATGGCATTTCCATCAGCCCGGCAACATCGACGAGCTTGAAGATGTCGTTCAAGAACGGACGGCTGAGCGTCCAGGGTGTGTTTGGCTTCAAGTCTGACGTGAAGACCTCGCGGGTGCGGTTCCTCGGTGTCGCGAAGGCGCCGAAGACGGTCCAGGTTAACGGCAAGGCGGTGTCGAAGACCGGGTTTGCTTACGATGCGACAAAACAGGTGTTGGATGTCACGGTCGGGCTTGCTTTGACCGGACCTTTCAACGTGCAGTACTCTTGATTATCATCATGTAAGCTAGGGAAAATGTACGCAAAATGAAATCATTATCTTTGCTCTCTATCGTATTGGCGCCGACCAGCCCTGTCCAATCCACCCGCGTGTATACAGTGTTAGGTGTAGGGCAACTCAGCGTATGAACAAGGTCCTACTGTCCGCGTTCATGGCCTCTGCGATCGACGATCGTTTCTCTTTCATCCTGGCGTTTTGCTCGACTATCAACAAAGACGCTAGGATTTGGTCTCGGAAGGACTCCGTACCTGCCTCCATGACAAGGCAAGGTTTGGTTCCAGCTATGGTCATGTATGCCAGGGGAGTGTGGACATCATGTTCGCTGAATAGCTGAATGGAAAGCAGGTTAGTCAATGTAGAGTGGGGCTAATCCTGTGAGGGACGTACGGCGAGCCTATGAAGTTCGTGGGCTTTCCAGTGGTATCTCCCTACGCCGGTCTCGATGATCGCCACCTGGCTGTAATGGAAGTAACAACGAGTTATTGAAACATGATATCAATTCCTCGGGCGGAATTAGCGCACCTTCCATCCATGGGCTCAGCGTCGGGCATCCACTCGACCAGCTTCATGGGCCTCCCTCCATGATGGTCGGCAAACGTGACAGTGTCCGGCAACAACGATCGGCGTTTAATAGTGGCCAGAACACGCTGCGTATTCGCGTCTTGGATTGTAGTGCGACTGCCTGATCTGCCCGACGTGGATACGATGTATTCTGGTTGGCCTTTGGATGAAAGAATAGCATCCTTCATGCTGTTTGCGCTGAAATTCAGCTGGATGGCGGATGAGTTTACCAGAGTAGCAGTAGAGTCCATGCTGAGCCGTCTGTAGTGGCGAACCTAGCTGTGGAGAGGTCGCATTTTATAGAAATCCGCTCGACGCCGCGTGGCTTTTACAGAATTAGTCAAGTACTGGTCGAAGGATGTTGCTCTGTAAGTGGAACTGATAGTCATGACACCTGGCAAACGAGCGGTTCCGAAAGTTGGAATGCATTTGTCATTTCTAAACCTCTGTTGACTCGAGACTCACGGGACACCCCGCACCGCGTCGATCTTGCCGGATGTGCGTACCTTCGGATCGTAGAACAAAAGATTTTTCACGCCTTGCGGATTGAAGGTTGGAACTAGCAGTGGAGGCTAAGTGCGAGGAAGATAAGACGACAGAATGAGGCACGCGATTCTCTTACAATCATGACCGGTCAAAAACAATTAACCGAGGCCTATGCAAGCGAGCTGCGATAGATCGTCTTATCGTACTTATCGCTCCCCCTCTTGTGAATGGGAGGTGATGAGAGTCGTTATAGCGGAAATTATCAGAGCTGCGTCATTGTATGATGGCAATACTCCCGGGACTCGAACGCGTTCGCGAGCTGCCGGGAACTGCCTCCATTTTCCGCATAACATTAGGTGCGAGTGAACGGCTACGGAGAAGGGGATAACCAGCGGTGCTATGCTGGTTCAGGTTCAACAACTTCTGAGGCCCTCTGAGGCCGCGTTAGCTCCACCGGCCCGGACGCAAATTCCAACCTTCACTTCGTTCAATGATTCGTTTTTCACGATAGCGTCGACACTCCTTGAGGAAGCATATTCGTCACGGCAGCAGCAAAAGAGCTCGATCCAGACAGCTACAGAGCTCGAGCGGTCGGTGGGAGTCAGTAAGTCAGTTCAACAAGAATCTGAGAGAGAGATCTGTCTAGCTGTGTTTGAACTTTCGTTGATCAGCTTTTCTGGTTTTCTGTTTTTAGTCATAACGCTCGATTCGATGCCGCTGCGGCCATACCGACTTTCCTCAACCTGCGACAGGCCCACGTCGACCTGCGCCTCTGACGCAGAGACCCAGCATGACACCTGAGCCTGAGCCTCCTTCAGAAGCCACCCCCCTCCTAGCTTCACCCGAGTCAGAGCAGAGCTTCAAACGGGAAGCGGTCTATGAGCGGTTCTCGCGGCGCAGGAAATGGGTCATCTTGGTGCTGGTGTCGTGGTGTGGGCTGATTCCCTGTGAGTGCTACCTTGGTGTCTTTTATGCCCTCGTTTTGATGAGTGGGGCGTGCAGTGTTCGTGTCGGGGACGTTCATTCCTTCCATACCGCAAATCGCGAAAGACCTTGACACTACAGGTCCTATCATCAGGTCTGCCCAGTGCCTCCAGATCTTTCCTCTACGAAATTCCTCCTTAACTTTGAACGCAGCCTCGCTGTCAGTTTATCCATCTTCGGAGCCAGTCTCGGCGGTCTTTCCGGTGCAGCATATTCCACATTCTGTACGTCCCCCACCCCCATTCTTCGACCCACTTCCCCACCTAATCCACCATCCCAGATGGCCGCCGCCCCGTATACCTCGTCGGCCTTCCCCTCCTCTTCATCGGATCTCTCGGAGTCGGACTCTCGCAGACCGTCACGGAACTCATGATATGGCGCTTCGTCCAAGCGTTCGGTTCCGCGCCGGGCTTGTCAGTTGGGGCGGGTGCGATTGGGGATATCTACAGGCTGGAAGAAAGGGGGCAGGCCATGGGAGTATTCTTCGCCGTACGTCTGCCCTCCATATCGCTTCTCCCACCCCTTCTAAAACGCACTATAGGCATGCCTCGTCGGTCCCGCTCTCGCCCCTCCCATCGGAGGTACATGCCTCTCTCCACCCCTTCCCTCGTAACACTCGCTGAAACCACCCCTCACCCAGGACTCGCAGCTGAATACGCCTCCTGGCGCATCATGCAACTCATAATGGGCGGCGTCGGCGGCGTCATGTTCATCTGCATGCTCCTCTTCTTCCCCGAGACGAGCCACCCCGGCACGCGCGGCGTCGACAAGCTCCCCGCCGCCTCCAGAAAGTGGGTCTTCGTCAACCCGATGCGGCCGCTGGCGCTGCTGCGCAGTCCTAACCTCCTTGCTGTGGTAAGCGTGTACACCCCGTCGTGTATTGGAGGAGAATGTGCATTGACGCATATATGAAGTCTTTCGCGGGGTTCGCGGTGCTGTTGACGGATTATGGTACGTCGGACCACATGTTATCCCTGTTCCACGGCTGAACGAGCTACGTATAGTCCTCCTGGTGCCCCTGGCATACACCATCGTAAGTCAAACTCCCACCACCCAATCTGTCTCACCCACCAACCCCATTCTGGCCCCAGGGCGTCCGATACAACATAACAAACCCCGCCCTAATCGGCGCCTGCTTCCTCCCCGCCGGCCTCGGCAACATGAGTGCGTCCCTCCCTCTCCCCTCCCCTCCCCCACTGCCCACTCACCCACCCCTTGCACCCCTCCCCAGTCGGCGCCCCCCTCGCCGGCCGCCTCTCCGACAAACTCATCATCTCCTGGCGCGCCCGCCGTCTCGGGATCTGGTACCCCGAAGACCGCCTCCGCGCCACCCTCCCCTCCGCCCTCCTCCTCGTTCCCCTCTCCGTCCTCCTCTCCGGCGTCCTCACGCAGTACGTACCCGGGGTGTGGGGGTTAATTGGGAATTTGGTGTGTCTGTGGGCGAATGGGGTGGGGGTGGATGTGGTGCTGAGCCCGAGTGCGGCGTATGCGGTGGATGTGATGAGGGAGAGGAGTGCGGAGGCGATGGCTGCTAATGTGTGGGTGCTTTCGTCCGCTCTACATACCTTGGTCTTGAGCGTGACTGACTGACTGACTTGTGACGAATGAGTAGGGCGTTCCGTGCCCTCCTCCTCTCCCTGTGCATATCGGGTATACTCCCCCTCATCGACCTCATCGGCGTCGCAGGGACCAACGCCCTCTCAGCGCTCCTCGCCTGGCTCGGCTGCTTGTACGTTCGCCCCCCTCCCCCTTCCCCTGTGCTTGTATAATGTACTGAATCACCGTTTTTGACAGCGTTTTGTGGTGCACGATCCGGTATGGGGCGCAGATGCGCGCGTGGGTGGATGTGGGGTATACGGCTGTGGAGGGTAGCTGAGGCTTCGGGATGGGAGCTGGAAGAGACTGCATTAAGCTTTATGAAGGAAAAGGATTAAGCTTTAGGAATGAATAGGGTCGAAGCGAGGGGGGAGAGGGGGGTATGCACGGAATCTTGCCTTGGAATTATTAAGGAAGTAGGAGTATGAGTAGAATTAGGCTTAGGAGTAGATCTCGTGCGCGGCTGGACAGGCTCCTTCGTCGTAGGACTTATAGATACATACCCACCTGGCATGTACAGGTAGTAGCAGTAGCACGATTCCATCCCTATCTGTCGCGCTGGGAAACCACGTAATGATTGGAAGCCCAGGGGGGACGGATATCACCGTCCGGTATGGTGTAACGGCTAACATTGCCGCCTTTCATATCAAGTAAGATCGATTCGCGAACGCGGCAGCTCGGGGTTCGATTCCCCGTACCGGAATAAAATATTGTATGTCAGTATTTCTTTTTCGATGGTGGGAGCAGACTCGAGTTGTCCTCGTTGTCGAACAGTCGAAGGCTTCCAAATCCCAAATTGAAATGGCAATAGTCAGCATCAGTGGGAGCAGACTCAACCTGTCCTCGTTGTCGAACAGTCGAAGGCTTCCAAGTTCCAGATGGTAAGGATCAGCATCATATTGATCAATGATAGCACTTATCTCCTTTCCTTCATCTCCAGTTACGTCCGCGATGTTAGAGGATGTTACGCCCAGCGAATTCCTCATCAGCGACGTCCTCGACGTTTTCGCGACCTTCAGCCCGCGCGAACTGGCAGCATGTCGACCGAGGTTCCTTCGGAGACCACCCCGCTGCTTGTAGCGGACTCGGAGCCTAACCTCAAGCACGAACTGGTGTACAAACGGTTCTCGCAGCGTCGGAAATGGGTTATTCTGATGTTGATATCGTGGTGCGGTTTGATTCCTAGTACGTGCTATTGTTTTGGAGTCTATGAGCACGCTCATCCTCTTGCAGTGTTCATCTCTGGAAGTTTTCTTCCTTCAGTACCCGACATCGCCAAAGATCTCAACACCACTGGTCCCATTATCAAGTCCGCGTTCTGTCTCTTCGGAGGGAAACCCCTGCTAATTTGATAAACAGCCTAGCCGTCAGTTTGTCCATGCTCGCATCGAGTCTCGGAGGCCTCTCAGGGGCAGGCTATTCCACATTCTGCAGGTCCTACGCATACTTGAGATGGGTAATGGCTGACATAGCCTTGCAGATGGTCGGCGACCCGTATATTTCTTTGGATTGCCGTTATGCTGCATCGGGACTTTTGGGGTTGCATTGTCCAAGAGCGTCCCACAGCTCATGGTGTGGCGCTTCATTCAGGTGTTCGGTGCGTCGCCTGCACTTACGGTGGGGGCTGGCACCATCGGGGATCTCTACGCACTTGAAGAACGGGGGCAGGCGATGGGAATTTACTTCGCTGTGAGTCTTTCGCGGACTCGTCTTCTCGGATTCACCTTTTTGAAGCGCGCTCTAGGCATGCTTCCTTGGTCCCGCATTAGCTCCACCTATTGGAGGTATGTAAGTCCACGTCTAACGTCCCACGGAGGCTGATACCTGTTCTCCCAGGATTTGCCGCGCAATATGCCTCTTGGCGCATCATGCAAGCTGCAATAGGTGCAGTTGGGTGCGTGATGCTCGTGTGCATGGTTCTGTTCTTTCCGGAGACGAGTCACCCGGGCAAGAGAGGGATAGACAAGATTCCGGAAGGCTCAAGGAGACTGGTCTTCGTTAACCCGCTAAAGCCTCTAGCGTTATGGCGTAGTCCGAATCTTCTTGCTGTCGTGAGTATACGTTCTGCGACTTTTGACTCGGAGGAAGAGCTGTGTTGAATGCTGCCTTATTTCAAGGCGTTTTCTGGCTTCACTGTGCTGTTGACGAATTTTGGTAGGTCAATATTATCATTCTTCTTTCTGTTCTTATGTTGTAATGCGTCAGTCTTGTTGGTGCCCCTTGCCTATACGATTGTGAGTCGTACACGCTCGAGTCCGAATTCCCGTTTGACGTCGGTTTCCGCCAAGGGGGTCCGATATAAAATCACCAGCGCCGCTCTGATTGGAGCCTGCTACCTCCCTGCCGGAATCGGAAACATGAGTCCGTGCTCAATGTTTGCCTATCATACGGTTCATCACTCATGAAGTGTCAGTCGGAGCCCCCCTAGCAGGGAGAATATCTGACAAAGTCGTAGTCAAATGGCGCAAACGCCGCGGCGGCGTATGGTATCCCGAGGACAGATTACGAGCCACGCTCGGCGGGGCCCTTTTCCTCGTTCCCTTCACCGTGCTATGTTCCGGGCTCTTAACGCAATTCGTCCCCGGGAAGGTTGGGTTGGTCCTCAACTTGATGTGCTTGTTTCTCAATGGCATCGCTGTATGTATCCACAGTTATCCGGACATACATCACGCTATTGATAAACCTTTACCTTGGATGCTAGATCGATGTGGTTCTCAGTCCGTCTGGGGCATATGCCGTCGATATCTTCCGGGACCGGAGCGCTGAAGCCATAGCTGCGAACGTGTAGGTCCTCTCCGCACTGGAATCTTCTTCGCGGCGCACTGACTCTCGCCTACACAGTTCGTTTCGTGGGTTCGCACTGGCTATCTGCATCTCTGGGCTCCTCCCGTTGATCGAGGTCATCGGCGTTGCGGGGACCAACGCACTTTCAGCTCTTCTGGCGTGGATCGGAGGCTTGTAAGGATGTTGTGATGACATTTATGTGGGAGGCGCTGACCTTTTCGTACAGGGTGATATGGTATACGATTCGGTATGGCACGCAGTTGCGGGCTTGGGTTGATGTTGGGTATTCGACGGCCGATACCAACTAATGACGTGTTATCGCACTATACACTATCTGCAGGTTAATCTCATTGGACTTCTGTATTAGGCTCGCGGAAGATTCTGTCCTGCTTTACCTTCAATACTACGACGCAACCCTCCGTCGCAGCTTTTTCATACCTGATACTTCCGCGATAACGAAATAAGATCCAACTCCAGCGAACGCATCTTCGGAGTTCGTTTTTAAGAACAGAAATTCACACTCTCATTTTTATAAATCATTGGGCAGATGGCAACTCTGGAGTATATCTCAAGCGGAAAGCGATAACATGACCTTGACTCATGATCCACCACAGTGCGTGATAGAAATTGATTCAGGCGAGTATACAGCGGTCATAGGTATGGACAGAGATGACCAGACTCGCACGTTGAGTAGAGGTAAGATAATCCTTCAATATACAGACGTCAGTGGGCCTAAGCACCTGCTTCGACCGCCATCGCGCCTTCTTCACATGCCGACCTGAACATATCAACAACCCCCGTCCCACCCGCCAATTGACTAAGTCCATCGTACAGCACCTCCCCGCCCACTGAATCCTTGTATGTATCAATTATATTTAGATTCTGACACTGACAGGTGCAAGATTCGTTCATCCGCCTACATTTCGTGGTTCCTCTATGTGTAGTTCCTGACACATCGGAACTTGCGAAGTTGTCAATGCACCACCTTCCCCATGGACCCACCACACCACTATACATACCTGATACTTATACCCAAAAAAAGCACACGAAACTCGGGAGCGAGCGCATCGGGCAGACTGTCAAAACCAAAAAAAAAAGAGAAAAGAAAAAAAATCGTATGCGGTAGCTGAACATGGACCCTTGGACGTGAGCTCCAAGCTGGATTGGTCGGGTTCAAGCGAGGCGGCGGCGCGGGTCGGACGAATGATCGCAGGCGCAAGTTCGTGTGGTTTGCCCTGACCGCTCGAGGGAGGGGGTGGGGTGGCGCCCAATAGACGAGTATCACGATAAGGTTTCTCGCCGTTCGTCGGGCGGCGGTGCCCAATACGGCGAGGAAGCACGAGCACGTAAGTAGAAAGCGCTGAGAATGGCCAAGCGCCTCACGATCCATGATCCTGATCTGAGCGCGCTCACTAGGAGAAACCATCATCATCACCATGACGGGCGTCTACCTACGACCGCACGGATTTCGCGTGTGTGGGTGGTAAGATCCCTCCTCGTTCGTTCCCCGGGTCCGGGCCTGCAGAGACAGGGGGTAAGCGCCCATGATGTGTGGTGTGCGAACACATCACCGAACGGAACATGTCCCTGGTCAATGTTAATGAACGAAGGCAACTCCGCGACTAGGTCCATCCAACCCTGAACGCATTTACCCTCGTGCCCGGTGTCGAGGGGGCGTAGGTAGCAGGGATCCCGACAAGGCTCTATCGCGAGCCTTCCTAGATGTAAGTCAATTGAGTATCCACAAGTGATGGCCGGTGGGGGTGGGTATGGGTCAAGGGCATGGTAGAGAGTGATAGGCGCCACAGGACGGAAATGGAAAGGTCAAAGGTCAAAGGCAGGATGACTACATAGGTAAGATATGTGGTGCTCGTTTGTGGCTATGTCCGCGTCGTGATACTGGTGTGGTGGGGTGTGGTGTTGTGTGGGATGTGATATTTCTGGGGCGTGGAGCGTGTATCATTGACAGATATCGCGTATTATGTGTCGTGCTGTTGTACATAACAGCGCCGAGCCCAGCTATGAGGATCGAAAAATCTTTTTCATGATAAGAAGGCAGATACATTGATGACGCGGGCAAGCATCGGGATCCATAAGCCTCGATGCCCATGACGGAAGGTAGAATATGTGTGAGTGGCGGAGGAGACAGCGCCTAGGCCTTGAAGTCGTGTCTCTCCCATCCACTTTTATTATCCGCTTCGGACTAATCACTGACCGCGCACCTAGTAATATCTCCTTTCAATGCCGTATCGGTGTTGGACAAACGTCAGATTTGCTTCTATCACGAGTGGTGTAATTGACAATTAGACTAACGGCGACATCACAGTTTTCTGGAATCCACTGGAAGAAGAGATGTGAATGTAGGAGTGACGCAAGGAGGTGATGCGGATGCGTTTTCGTTTTGCCCCGATGGGGGTCTGACATCTGCCCTTTGACGCTGGGGGAGCAGAATCTACCCTACCTCCAGATGCGTGTCATCCTCTGAGAATTAGGTATCGACTATATACCCAGACGACTCTGAGCCGGGTATATGCCTGGAATATACCGAGAAAGAAGGTCTAGGCGCACGATCTTCGGGCTAGAGGGGTGTGCATCTGTGACCGATGGCAAGTCGGCGTGTTTCGGCATCACTAAACTTCGTCATGATGAAGTTCTCACTCGCAACTCCCTAACCGGAGCGAGGTGTCAGTCAATGATCAGCTTCGGGTAGCAAGGAATGGCGTATTACCCACTGGGTTTCCCTCGCACCGCCTTCTGTCCGTGTATGTCCAGTTCTTCCCATCTCCCATACCCGTCCGAGATTGGAGCGTCAATGTGGAGTCATAACGTGAGATTTGGTTAAACAAGCTCGTCCAAGGCGACCTTGAGGCGCTGAGGATCGCCGTGATAAGATGAGGCCGGTGAGTACACGAGGTGATG